AGGACAGAACTGCTCAGCTCACATCATCATCTGTAATACAGGGACAATATGCTTCCTGGGGTTCTTGGGAGGAATAAACAAGATAACATAATAATATGGAGCACCTAGCACATAGAAACTCAACATATGGTAGATATTACTGCGCTGATGATGGGTTGTAGAAGGTGACAAATGGGAAAGATGGTAAGAAAATCGGCTCAAAAAGGATGGCCAGATCAGTTTTTCATTTTAGAAGGATCACCCTAGCAGCAACATATAATCACTGTGGTGGGGATTGGGGTAAGTTCTAGAGAAGAGACCGTCAGAGTGGGTTAGATTGACCAGTGGTGGCCAAATCTAGCTCAGTGTCAAAATTACTTGGATTTTTGTTTGTTTTAATACAGATTTCTTGATTTCTCAGGGATGGGGATACATCTGGGTTGAGGTATCAGTTAGTTTCCACCCAGCCCTGTTGGTCCCTTAGAGGGAATTGATTCACCTCCTTCCAAGAATCAGCACTGCCTAAAGGAAAACTTGGATTGTAGCAGGAATGCAAATATTGAGTAACACTGAACTCTCTGGTTTTCTTAACTCCAGGATTCTTGGGGCCCCTTGGGTGCAGAGTGGGGCAATCAGATAAGGATTGGCGGTGCCAGAAAAGGTGAAGAGGATGGGATGGAGCATGATTTTCAGGTCATCAGTGGGTCTCACCAGAGCTGAGCTCCAGGAAGGATGTAACTCAGGTTCGGGAGATGGCCAGCTGGGAACCTCTTGAGAGTTGATCCCACCCAACAGTCTCCCAGTCCCCACTCAGTCCCCATTTGACTGAGCACCACTGCCTGGTTCTTTCTGCCTGCTTTTCACCACCATCCAGTAAGGGCTTCCCATCCACAGCTGTATCCCACTGGCTGACTGTATCCAGACTTCGCTGACTTTAAACTTCTTCATGTGGGTAATAGAGAACAGTCATTTCAATGGGCCACTCATGGGCCACTGCATTTCCATCTTATGGATGAGCCATAATTCACCCAACCAACCACTTCCCCCATTCTCAAATGTTTACATTCTTTCCAAATTTCTACTAGTGAATTTACTGCAATGAAAATTTGCACATAAACTTTTACTGCCATCACTTCCGGCTCTAAAATACCTAATACTCTTAGATGAAACCTGGTAATGGTTATTTTCTCAAGTTCAAGTTCAAATCTCAAACACCACTTTCTTCTCTGAGGAAGCAATTGGACATCATTTGAGAAAGTTCAATACAGTTAACCATTGAAGAATGGGAGAGTTAGGGGCACAGTCAAAAATCCACATATAACTTCTGACTCCCCCAAAACTTGACTACTATTAGCCCACTGTTGACCAGCAGCTTTACCAATAACATAAAATCAATTAACACATATTTTGTATGTTATATGCATCATATACTGTATTCTTACAATGAAGTAAACTAGAGAAAAGGTTAGGAAAATCGTTAAGAAAAATGTATTTATGGTACTGTATTTATCAAGTAAGTCTACATATAAATGGGCCTGAGGAGCTCAAACTCCTGTGATTTAAGGTCAACTGTACCTACTGAGGACTTTTTGAAAAACTCTTAGCGAGCAAAGAATAAATGGTAATTTCTTTAACCTGATAAAAGATACCTACCAGAAATCTCAGCAAACATCTTACTTAATGGTTCCCTTAAAAGTCAGGAATGAGATATGAATGCCCATTATCACTGCTTCTATCAATACTGGATGTCCTAGAAAAAAAGATAAAAGAGAGACTGCTGCCTCATCCCAGGGTGGAGAGAAGCAGGCATTCTCATTCACAGCGTGTATGAGAAGGTCAGCCTTTAAGGGTAGCAATTTGACAATACAGGACTTAGAAACATTCATACTTTCTGACCCAGCACCACCACCTCAGTGCACAGACCCGGAGGAAACACTTAAGGCTGGTCACAAAGAAGTAAGTATAAGGTGCGCTGGCTCAAAGAACTACCTGTGAATGGGAACGACCCGTCTGACAAGGTACTGGTTATGTGAATTCTGGCATGAACGTGGGATGGTGTACTAGTCACTGAAAATGCCGCTGTGTAAGCGCATTTACTGGAAAGACAGCTTAATCTACCTTTTCGTGTGTGTCTGCACATACATACACACAAACAAGAACATACTGGAAAAGCCCATACCAGAATACTGATGATTCCTTATGCTCTGTTTTGCAAATTTTCTTAAAATACATACCACTTTTCTAATTAGGAAAAACACTGTATTTTAAATACTGCCTCAAATGATTGCTGTAGACAGCAAAAAAAAAAAAAAAAAAAAAAGAGGGCTCAGAAAGAGTAAAGGGGAACTTCATGAGGGGGTTAGGCTGCAGCTACACACTTGATCACAACTCTCCGTTCATCTAGAATCCATAAGACCAGGAAGCTAAATTGCATTCTTATTGTTTTGTTTTATTAAAACAAAGGAAAATGACAAATCTAAAGGTTAATTTTATACACACACAAACATTCACACACACATTCTTAAATAAACTCTCCATTTACTCATAGGAACCTGCTATTCTGCCAAGTTCTCCAAAGGTCACAGGCCACCTTGTAACCCAGTGATCAGACTGGAGGAGATGGAGCTTACACAGCGGGTTCCCTGGAAGGTGTGACCATGGAGGGGAAAAGGCTGGAGAGGAAGGGGAATGTTAAGGGCATGACAGTATTCTACGCATGCGCTCTGAGAGAAAACTGCACAACAGCTACAACAATGAGAATCTTTATGCACATATCTCTGTAATCAGTACAATTCTTCAGAACAACAGAGACCCAAAAAAGGAATACAATGTTTCAAACACTGACAGCCCAGAGGTCAACATTACAAACTAGGGTTAAATCATCTGGAGGCCTTTGTAAGAGGACTGAGGTGTAGAAGCGTTGGAAGGTGTCGACTCCCCACACAAGTGTTGACAGGGGACAGACGTAGCTAGAAATAAAAAAACCGCTACCCAGTAAGTACTTCTGGTGCTTGCATACAGCGTCTAGTCCACAGGGAAGGTAAAAGGTCCAGACTGGTCTTTGCACCTGCTGTGTGGTAGAGGCGACGCCACCGGTCTTCATTTTCAGAAGCAGGCACGGCTCCAAAATTGCCCGATTCACATCGTGAGTACGTGGTACAAGGCATGCATGTTATCAGTACAGAGAGCACTTCGACAGAAATCCTCCGGTTTTTAAAATCCTGACAAGGTCATTTTTACCTCAAAGGGTTATTACACTTTCATGTCTTTGTTCCTTCATTGGGGGTCAATACTTACTCCCAAGCCTGTGCCAGCTCATCCAACCATTTCTTAGAAAGACCAGAGCCGGGAATGCGCAGGGCACACGCTGGTAATGACAAGATGCTTTACAGGCAGCAAGAACGGCAGCCTAAGGATGGTAAGCAGCCTTCTCCCCAGACCCCACCCTGCGAACCCAGATCCTCAGGGGGCTGCGAGCTGCATCAAGAGAAGAAAGAACAATTCTCTATTGGAGTCAGACATCCCTCAAAGGGATGAGTCTGTTATGACTCATGCAGGTCGGGGGAGGAGATAAGAACCTAAGGTGGAATATTCTTTGTCTGTAAAGTTTTAGCAGATGGAGGAAAATCATGTCATTTGCTTAACTTTGGAAAATGCAGTGGGTCTCGTCCCCTGAGGGTGGAATGCAAAGTAAGCCCAACATTCCACCTCCGCTCTTCCCAAGTCAGAGGTGGTGGGCAACGCTATTTTTTAAGAAGCCGCATGCTAACTTCAGATGGCACGGAATTCAAGACCAGAACCGCAATGACTTATTCGTCACATTTTCCATCTTTAGCTCCTTTAGGGGTAAAAATACCACAAAAGGAATAAAATGGCTTTTCTCGCTGTATGTCCTTCTTATGTTTTGCTGTTCAAAAGAGCCCACACAACCACATTCTCTATTACAAAAATTAATACCTCTCCTAGTAAAAGCCCTCTCTAGAATTACAGCTTTGGTTTCAGAATTGGCAACCCAATTAGCTCAAATTAACATCGACTGCATCAACGATATGCCAGCCAGCACGGCCAAGGTCTTTCAAAGATGAGGGTAATGATGCCACGTCTATTCTTCTAATGATAGTAAGAGAAGGAGACCGAGGAGTGAGCCTTTGTTCAGAGGAATGACAGCTGCATGAAGCATTTTTAAAATGAACGACTTTGGGGAGTTAAAAGGTTAGTGCTGGTTTTGTGAAATGCCATCACAGGGCTCTGAAGCCTCTGGAGGGAGGTCTTCTGAGTCAGGAGGGAGCAGAATGAATGGCTTCCCGGTGGTGGTTTTCAGAACCTACGTACCAATGCATCTGTGTACAAGGAGCATTAAATCTGTCTCCGGAGATGTAAGGGAGTCACACCGAATACCAGATTTCACCTTGCGCTTCTGAACTGCTCCTTCACTCTGCTGTGGCTCAGAGTTCCCATCTGCATAGTGGAAAAACAGGTGTCGTCTCTGCCAGTGGGGACTGGCGGCCAGGTGGGGAAGAGAGAGAGCTAGAAAGCACAAGTGCCTTCTCCAAAGAAAGGCAGGGTTCAAGCAGCAAAGAACTCAACAAAGCACTTCGATCAAAAAAGCACAAGATTCAAGTAACAGAACCACAGGGGCCCCGGCTGTGACCCACGAGGAGAGCTGGTAGGTGAGTGACTATGGGGCGGAAGACGCAGGACAAGCTCTGCAGAGCCCGTCACGTCCTCCCCGCACCGAGGACCTGAACTCTTCATCAGAGGACAGAAAGCTTCGTGGAGTCAGCCCGCTGTTCGGGCCGATGTCTGGATACCCATCCCATGCGTGTTCTCTGCATAAGATCTTCAAGTTGTTGGGCCAAACTCAATTTCAGCAAACACAGGTTTTCTTCATTTTGCGGGGAGAGAGAAAGAATGGCTATCTACATCCTTCTCCTGCACTTTAGCGTAAGAATTTAAAAAAAAAAAAAATCTTGAGCCTGTCTGAAAAAAACTACTGAAGAAAAACTCACACACACACACACACACACACACACACACACACTCCCTCGGTAGGACCGGAAGAGGGAAATTGAGAAGTTTTTTTGCAACGAAGAAACTTACTTCCTTTTTACAGTTTCTATTCTAGCAAGTTAGCATGTGCGTGCTCCGGGGTCGGAAACCCCCCAGAAGATTTGAGGGGAGGGTGGTCACAGGGACCCCTGCAGGTCCTCAGAACAGGAAGAAGGAAGAGGGGTTAACAATCCAGATTCACAGTCTTGTCTAAACAAGTCACAATGAAAAATTGGGAAAACGTCACACTTTAAAACTACGATATTTATTCTGCCACAAGAATTCACTGGATCCGTGATCGGTAGGTGGGGAAGACGTACCCTTTCTAGCTCCCATTCTCAAAGTTCTTGTTCCCAGTTTCATGGCCCGGTGTTCATCTCTGAACCTATCTACTTGTTTTCACTGGGCAGTCAAAATGCTTTTGGAGCCATTCAGCTGGAATCCTTAGGCCGCCGGGAGAAGGTGAACGGAGATTCAGCTACCGAGGGCCATCACCGTTTCTTTGTACCACTGTTTCCACCCCCCGATTTGCTGAAGCTCCTGCTCATGTGAGGAAAGTGCACGGTGGGGGTTCTTTCGGTAGGACCATACAATCCCAAATTCCTGGCGGTGGCTGACTTCCGCAGCGGTTTGACACTGGGGAAAGGGCTGAAGATGGGTGCTTTCGGGTGGCTGCCCTGGGGAGGCTTGCTGGGGGCTCTGTTTTCACCGGGGGCCTCAGACCGCTCTGGGAAGGGTGGTGGGCAGGGCTGGTGTGCCTTGGGCTCCAGGCCCGCAGCTGCATCCCTCTGGCTCAGTTCCAGGGCTTCTAACTTCACCTGGACCTCAGATACGTCGGCATCGGCCTCCCCGAACGCGGGCTCTGGGGACCGCCCTTCGATCGTCCGCCCTGTGCTGCTTCCGGAGCAGCTGCCCTCCCTTCCAGCGCAGCTTCCCTCCCTTCCGGTGGCTGCCCCACTGGAGGAGGCCTCTGCTGCCCCCAGGCTGCTAGTCTTGCATCCCTCATTCTGCTCCTCGATCAGCCCGACGGTGTCCCCGCAGCCCAGCTGACTCCTGGTCCTCGTCATGGTCTTTTTGTGGACTCGGATGTGAGTCCGCCACGGGGAATTGAGCTTTGTCTTCAGGTCTTCGTAGGGCACAGGAGACATCTTGCCTCCCATGTGACCGGGGATGTGGATGACGGCATTCTTGGCAGGTCTGTTTGACATTTTCATCTTCTTTCCTAAAAGAAGGTGGTTGATAACTGGAGAGTTGTTTACCTGAGACGGGAGAATGCTGGTCACTGGCCCTTTGTCTGAAAGAAATGGTGAAAGGTTGGATGAAACGTACCACAGAGAAACCAGCCATCACAGTCCAAGAATCACATAGAGCTTGTCCCCCAATCTCGCCCATGTATTTCCCAGATTTGGGCAAAGCCATGTGACTGAAGGTAACAAAAACTGAATTCAACCCTAGAGCCCCGGCATACCTATTCCCTCCTCTTCCGAGGGGAGGAGACAGGAGACTGAGAGTACACAAGAAGCAGACTCATTGGTCCCTTGTTGCTAATTCATGGGCAGATGCCTTGTTTCTTCCCAAGAGTTTTTGTCTCCGAGAAACAACCTCAGAGGTCTTGTATCTAAAAAATCTTAGGAGACTTTTTAAAAATAAGTCAAACACTATGACCATTTGGATGATCAGCTGTTAGCTTCTGAGAGGTAGGAAAAGAACACACACCACGTATTATGAAGTGAGAGACAGCAGGATGAGAGAAGTGATTAAGAAGGTGGTAAAAACACAGTGAAGTCATTGCTCCCCGATGCCTGGTCCTAAGTACGAAAATCCATCCCTGTGTCCTCAATGGACTTTGAAAGCAAACTGAAGACTGGAGAGCACCAAAAGCTGTGTTCTCCTGGAGGGCACTGTCGATAGTATTATTGTCCTCCTCCTCCCGTGGCTAAGACCAAGCCTCTCTTTCAGATGACGTTCAAACACACATGGCCCCAGGGAGAAGGCCTCACCATCTTCGTGTGAACAACCTTTGTCCTAATGTCCATGTCATCTGCTGAACTCACTTCTATGCTTCTCGACTATTGTCATCTACCTCTGGTCACACTCCAGTCCTTACTGAAGATGCTGACAACTGTCTCCTCTTCACTCCATATCCTATTACCCATCCTCGGTCACTTGACTGTTTCTCTGACTGACCCATCCGCACGCTTCCTTCTACCACCCCAATTCCATCCTAAACCTCATCACTCAGATCTACCTTCCCTGAAAAATATTTAACTCTCCTATTCTTCTCTTTGACTCTTCTAGCTCTCTCCCAATATAGCCATCGATGGTCCTGGGCCAAGGAGACTTTGGTTCTTTGATCTTTCAACTTCCCATAACCCCTCGTCTGTCTCTGGGTCACTCACACCCCTACCAGGCTAGATGCATGGCTGATCACTGGGACTGGTGCCTTACCAATAACCAGACATTCCCAACATCCCCATGCCTTTATGCCTGGCAAATTCCTAACCCTGGAGCCACAAATCACATTATCTTTTCCAAAAGTGGGGTGGGAGGTGGGATCACACAGACACGTGGACTGAAAGCCCTTCAGATTCATTAACTTCCTATTTTATTAGGTCCTCAAAGACACTAAACAATCCTTTTCTTTCCTTCTTCCATTCCATCCCATGACCTTTATCCAAATCTTCCTTACTTTCTCTACTCTCCCACCTTAGTCCCCCAATTTACTCCCAAGCAAATGACTTTTCCTCCAATTGCTCCACAAAAACAGAAGCTATCAGATCCAAAAGGCCCTAACTTCCTGTCCTCCCTAACCTGGGAGGATGGTACCTCAACCACCACTCAACCACCATGCTCACCACCTTCCTTTACATCTCAGGAGCTGAGGTCAGGTGCAGCCTCTCCTGCCCACACTGCTGATGCCACCTTATGCCATCGCCTCTAAAAGCTTGCTACTCAAAGCGGGATCCCCACCCAGCAGTACTGGCATCACCTAGGAGCTTGCTGGAAATGCATAATCTCAGCCCCACCCCAAACATGCTGAAACAGACTCTTCATTTTAACAGATCCCCAAGTGATTTATATGTACCCTGAAGTTTCAGAAGCAATGCTCTAGGACTTTGCCTTTGAGCAACAATCTCTCCCTAAAAAGAACTATGTAAACTATGATCTAGAGGAGTCAGCCAACTTTTCCTGAAAAGGACCTGATTCTAGGTAATTTTAGACACTGCAGTGTATAAGCAGTCATAGACAATATGTAAATAAATGGGCATGCCTGTGTTCTAATAAAACTTTATTTACAGAAACAGGCAGCTAGCAGGATTTGGCCTGTGGAGCATAGTTTACTGACCCCTGACTAGAGCTCAAGGCACTGGGCTGACCTAATAACCACCGAGAATACCAACTGTTCACTATCCTACCCAGAGATGTGTACGGTGCAGTTGAAAAAGGACGATACAAGAAATCAGAACACAGGGGTCTAGCCCTGGCCTGACCACCCACCACAGCTACTAAGTCTGCGAAGCCTTCCTGAGACACCATCCCCTCATCTTTTAAAAGGACATAAGAATATCTATCCTTACATTCCTCACAGATCTGCTTCAAGGACAAAATGAGGATACGCATGAGCCAATGCTTTGAAAATTAAAGTGCTACCTTTGTTTCCTTTGCGCCTTCTTTCTTAAGGATTCAGGCTGAAGTAAGACTCTTGGGGAAGAGGCCCACTCCTCCCGCACAAGTGTAAGTTAAGTTCAGTTTTTGTGTAAGATCAGTCACATGTTCACACAAGCCTCTTAGAAACATGGCAACTTCCTATTTTGATTAACACTGGGCAGGCATCATAATCATTAGGATTTCATTTGGAACAAGACAAACCACTTCCCAAATCAGCATGTATTAAATAATAAAGCAGACTGTTCCCTGGGATTTTCAGAATTACAAAAAAAAAAAAAAAAGGCAGTTTGACAGTCCTTGGAAAAGAGCATTTCCAATTCCAATTACGTTCTTCTCAGCAGACCCCCAAGACACAGCTAACCCATCAGTGAGGCACAGGGATGGTTTTTTTTTCCTTTTTGTCTGACCATGACTATCTGTCATAGGACTACCTACATGACTGGTGAGTAGCTTCATGTACTAGCCCACAGAAGAATAGGTTCCAGAGGCAAGAGCTCCAAAATGTCTCAAGTCCAAGGACTGCTGGGCATCTGCAACATTTTCATCATTCGGCTACCGCTCTCCACAAGCACACAGAGTAAAGATGTGTTTACTACCATCAGCTGCCCGGTTCTTGGTACCTAAAAGTAACCCGTGGCCTTTTTCTTTTGCAGAGCCTGATAAAATAAAAAATGAGATGCCAAATGTGCTGTCCGCTTGGGCCAGCCGTGTCTGTGGTTGCTGAGCCACCGCGAGTTGCCATGAGGAGGCCGTCCTCAGAGCACTCGTTCTTTCTTCCACAAGGTGACACAAACTTGAAATCGTTCCGAGAACCACATTACCTGCCCGGATGTACACCTGGTGGACCTGCTGCTGCTGCTTCTTCTTAATCCGAGAATACTGCTGCTTCAGCGCGTTGATGTCCGTGGTCATGCGCTCCATCATCATGCTGTTGAAGGCCGCGTGGTACTCACTCCGACAGGAATTGATTGCTCCAGGACTCAGCTCCGCGATGTTGTTAGACCGCAAACTCTGCTCCTCATTCGGTTCTGCAATCCAGGGGAGAGGGATAAGGACACGGTGTCATGGGGGAGAAAGGGATTAATGAGCACAGGTGACACTATGCCCCGGGGTTCGAACCATCAATCAATCAATCAATCAATCAATTTGCTACAATTTGTTTGATAGGTGTTTTCCTTTGGCCCTGAAAATAGGTCTGCATTTTCTTATTAGCCTAACTGTGGATCCAAACAAGCTGGGTGGGTTCACTGTTGGATTTTTATTACCACTTTGTTCATTGCGTAGACCTAAGATCAACTGTTTCAACGTAAAAGTCACTGCCATTTCCCCCAATTCCCTCAGGGAAAGGGAACTCCAGGTGTCTAAAGTCGGTTTAGAGATTTGCATGTAATTGTATGAGGACTTACAAGGAATTGATTATACAGTTTAGTCAGTCATTAGAAGTGAGTTTTTCTTAAGTTAAAAATAGCAACACGTTCTATAAAATCATCAGAACTTCAGATCACTGCATCTCTAGCAACGAATGTTTTTTTCATGTAAAAAACATTTCCTGCTGTCTACTCTGTGTGTTTTGTCCGATAGGGTTTCTCCTCCTCTGATACCTACAACTAGTAGATTCATCTGGGATTACATCTAAGAAGCAGAAATAAGCACGGTGTGAGGGCATACACACATATTGCACAAGCTTTTCTAGCACAATATAGAAAAGTGGCCTGGGAACCAGCTTTTAAAAATTGATTAAGGGGGGGGGGGAGCGCCTGGGTGGCTCAGTGGGTTAAGCCGCTGCCTTCGACCCACCTCATGATCTCAGGGTCTTGGGATCGAGCCCCGCATCAGGCTCTCTGCTCAGCAGGGAGTCTGCTTCCCCCTCTCTCTCTACCTGCCTCTCTGCCTACTTGTGATCTCTCTCTGTCAAATAAATAAATAAAATCTTTTAAAAAAATGATTAATGGGGCACTTCAATTATGTTAACATCTACTAAAAGTGTTAGCCAGATAAAGCCTAAATATCAGATAAGCTTACTTACTTTTTCACAGAAAACACTTTTTTTAAGGAGAAAAAAAAACGGGCCTGCTAATCTGAGCTTACTTAAAACTGACAAGAAAGGCTAATGATAAAACTTAAGAGAAAGTGATCCTATCATCCTGAAGTACGTAACAGCTACCCAGACAGAAAAACAGAAGGAAAAGGGGGGGGGGGGGGGGGGGGAAGCAGTGTGGAGACATACAGCCAGACTACAGAAACACAAAAATTTTGTGGTTTTTTTTTTTTTGCAAAAATTTTGGAGTTAAAATACATTTTGATTTCATGGCTACACACCAAAAGCTGAAATTCAGGTCACAGAGAGAAGGGGTGGAGGGCATAACAAAATCAATAGGACTCTTGCTGAGTTTAGGTGTTTTAAAAGCCATTTAAAGTTCCAAAAAAATAAAAAAATAAAAGCCATTTAAAGAGATGAGAGGAGAGGACATAGCAAAGACATACACGCAGTCACGTGAACCAAAACTATAAAGCAGGCTAAAACTCAAAACAAGCTAAGGCTTGAGGACCAGATTACCATGAAACAACCACAGGCAGAAGAAAACAGCCAAACAAACAAAAAGAAACCTTCTAAACACAAAGAACAAAAATGAGAAAATAGCCCCACGACTCTGAGAAGGCAGTAGGAAGCTAGCAGAGGGCAAAGAAAATGCAGAGGGCCTGCTAACTCTTGTCTCTGTCCTCTTTCGCAAGGAGTACAGTCTTCAAACTAGAAGACGTAGAACAAATGTCCTAAAGGAGGAACCACCACCCGAGATAGGAAAGAACATATCGGGATGGACCATCCTCCACATGGCGGGAGGACCACCAACTGCTTCCTAAGAGTTCATTCCAGAGGACACCAACTGCTTCCTAAGAGTTCATTCCATCAATGGTGTCCAGACCACAGGAAGTCCATTCTCCACAAGAAAAAAAACAAATGTAGCATAGCATCCAACTCAAAGGGAGACATCACCAAACCGCAGGGCATTAAAAGGTGAATATACAGAATATTAAAAGTTCTAGAAGTCGGGGTGCCTGGGTGGCTCAGTGGGTTAGGCCCCTGCCTTCGGCTCAGGTCATGATCCCAGGGTCCTGGGATCAAGCCCTGCATCGGGTTCTGCTCAGTGGGGGCCTGCTTCCCTTCCTCTCTCTCTGCCTACTTGTGATCTCTGTCAAATAAATAAATAAAATCTTTAAAAAAAAAAAAAAGTTCTAGAAGTCGTATCTTTTGAAAAACTCTGAACTTGGACGATAGGGAAGGATTTGGGGGACACAATGGCTGTTCTCAAAGATCTGATGAAAAGTCCAACAGAAGAGGAAGTAGACTTGTTCTGTTTTGTTCAAAAGAACTATTAAAAGAACTGGTAGGTGGAGATTATCTCTTCACGACTAGAAGTCATGGGCTAAGCAGAGGATCCAGCAGAATGTCTTATGAGATAATGAGTTTTTAATCCCTCAGATTCAAGTAGAGGCTATCCTAATGTTTCAGAGGACATTTCTATAGTGGAAAAGAAGCCAGTCTGTATCAATTGAACTCAGATAGCATGTGGTACTAAGCATCTGTTCTATGCCAGGTTCTGAGCTAGGGAGCTGAGCATACCAAGTGGAATCAGATAAAGTGGACGCAAAACCCCTCAGAAAGAAAAAGAAATATGTATGATGTATGCAACACCTCACAGAGAGATCCTACTAAGTGATAAAGTAGGGGTGCCCAGGTGGCTTAGACAGTTAAGTGACCAACTCTTGGATTCAGCTCCAGTGGTCATCTCAGGGTCATGAGATTGAGCCCTGCCTTGGGCTCCATGATCAGCACGGAGTCTGCTTGAGGATTCTGCCCCTCCCCGATGTGTGCACACTTTCTCTCTCTCCCTCTCTCAAAAATAAATAAATCTTGGGGCATCTGGGTGGCTCAGTGGGTTAAGCCTCTGCCTTGGGCTCAGGTCATGATCTCAGGGTCCTGGGAATGAGGCCTGCATCAGGCTCTCTGCTCAATGAACCAATACACAGAGATCACCTACATAGACAGCCGTCTCTTTACCTTTGATCTGCTTTTGGTACTTCTGCAGTTCAGGCGCGAGGAGCCCACTGAACGGCCCGAGACACCCCACGGCAGTAGCAATAGCATCTTCATCATCTGGATCGTTCTCCTCATCACTGTCTCTGACCTTCCCATGCCGTCTTGGAAAACAAAGAAGAAGAAAAATATTCAAGCAAAATAGTGGCATTTTTAAAAAATAAATGATACAGTCACATGGCTCAAATGACATATACATGAGTTTTATATAGAAGTGGACATACAACTTATCTATAAAAAGTCTCCCTCCCTTCCCTGTCCAACTTCAGCCCCTGCCCCACCTAATTCCCAAAGGTGACCCTTGTTACTAATTTCTGATGTGTTCTTCAGTTTTGTTACGCACACATAAGCCAATATAACTATACAGTCTTATTGTTCTCTTTTTGAATAAATATCAGCATACTATCTACATTGTTGTGCACCTCACATCTATTTACCTAAAAATCTCTCTAGATTCACAAGTAGAGCTTCCTCGCCCTGTTTTTATTGCTGCATTAGATTGAATGCATGTGGCTCATGTTACGGGACCAGGCCACACACCTGAGTGGTCTACACTCACATACTGTCATTAAACAATGCCACTATAAATAACCCGATACACACTGGGTTTGGGCAGGTGTAAAAATATATTTGTGGAGTAAGTCATAAAGATAGAATTGCTGGGTCAAAGGAAATATGTACTAGTAATCTAGGAAAGTACTGCCAAATTGCCTGCCACAAATCTTGTAATAATTAACCTCCAGCCAGCAATGTGCAAGAGTGTTTGCCTATAGCCTCATCAACAGAGTGCACGTCAGTCTTCTGAATTTTTATCAATCTGACAGATAAAAACAGAGTCTCAATCTAGCTTTAAGCTATATTTCTCTTAATACCAGTGATGTCATTCCTTATGTAAACTACCTATGCCCATTCTCTCATCATTTTTCGATTGGGTGTTCATTTTCTTATTGATTTCTAGGAGCTTTATATATGCAAGATATCAGTTACAAATATTTTTTCACAAACATTTTTTTGTGCCTGTTTATGGAGGTTTGTTTGGTTTGGTTCTGTTTTCAATCATGCAGAAAATTATTTTTAAAAGTACTTAACTTTTTCCCTGGTGTTTTTGAATCCATAATTAAGGCCTTCCCTTTCCAAAGAACTAAAGATATTTTCCCACATTTTCTTCTGCTAATTTTATTATTTCACTTTTTCCATTTAAATAAAAAGTTTCACTATTGATTTGATATGCTAAGTTTTCAAACACTAAATTTCTATACATATAGTTGTCAATGTCAGTCTTTACATTTCAAAATAGTTCATCTGTCTCTTCATGTATCTGTTCTACCCTATTTTAATTATTAAAATGTTTAATATTTTATACTGTTAAATAAGTTTCTAAATATTCCTTTAGTTTATGCTTCAATCTTCTTCGGAAAGTACAGTTTTAAAAATCTCTCTTTTGAATGTCAATCAAAACCTTTGGGAAAGAGACATTCAAATTTTAAGCACCAAAATACTTTGGAAAAAAAAATACATATATATATCTGGGGATTAACAAATACAAAGTTACAATAACACATTAAAGTACTAAGCCTCCCATCAAGAAAACAAGAAGCGGGGATAAAAAGACCTTACCCAGAAACAGAGGTGGGTTTAACTGTGGCTGGGAATGGTGTAATGTTGTAGGTGTACTTTTCCCTCAACTCCGCCAACTGTGGGAAAGGGAATGGGGCCATAGAATAAACAGTCTGGAAAACAAAAGCAAAAATGCCAAGTCTGAAACGGTAGCCTTAGACAACTCTTATCAATCCTGGGAAGACATTAGAGTTTTATGATATGTATGTGAAGAGGTCGAATCTGCACCTTACCCAGCAGGTGGAGAGATTCTATTCGATACCTGCTTTAGAGAAAGACAACAGTACTGATAAACGCAGGGGTGAGTTCTCAAATCAATCCGGCTGTGACTGGGCATTCCAAGTGGTGAACATGGGTGGCAGACGGGGGCAATCCGACTTCCTCCAGGCCCAATGACAAGTGGGTTAATTCAGAAATTCACAGCTCCCTATTACTTTTTTTTTTTAATGAGGGCCCGAAATCACGACCCCTAAATCAAGACCCAAGCTGAGTTCAAGAGTCAGATGCTTAACCAACTGAGCCACCCAGGAGCCCCCTATTACTTCTTTAATAAAGTACCCATCGATGATCTTCATACTAGTGCTTATTTTTCAAAGCTTTGTTTGATGATTTTATAGACATTTAATGTCAACCTTCTGGACAAAATTAAGTCTAGTGGATGATCTCGTGATCAGCTGCCCACTTTCTCCAAAGATACCACCTTTTCAAATGCCCGTGAATGAGTTCTAGGTGAAAATTGTTAGCTGTTATTTTTAAAGGAAAAAAAAAAAAAAAGAAAGAAAGAAACGAATAAAGTGACAGGGTGTAAAGCATAGGCTGCCAAAAATCTATAAATAAAAATGGGAAAAGCACCTGTGCTTCCTCCAGGATTCCAAAATTATATATCACTCTATCAGCAGGAAGAAAGTAGTCCTGTTTGCTCTCTTAATTGTATTAAAATTTAATTGCTCCAAACATATTACTTCAATCCTTCAAGTACATATTCACCAAAAAATGTGTATTAATCACAGCTTCATTTCTCCCAGGAAGCCATTAACCGAAAACTAACAATGCTATATGTCAACCATACCTCGATAATTTAAAAAAAGAAACCCATACCATTTGGATTCAACTTTAAAAGATGACATTATTAATGCTAGGAATTTCAAAATTCCTTATAAATGAAGATGTCTCACTGAAGATAATTAATAGGTCAACCAGCTAAAGATTCACTTGTGTTTTATTTTTGCCAGTCTTTATAAAAAGTTATCAAAATATTCCCTTGCTCAGCCTCATGAAGGAAGCTTGATAAGTAAGGAATGGGAAGTCCATCCTGCCCCTACTTCATCCCATCCTACCCTAGGGTAATTGGCCCCGAGCTCCTAGAGATCTCCTTCAAGCTTCCACTCAGTTTCAGACACCTGAGCAAAAAGAAAACTGGCCCCACTGGTGTTTTCATTCTCTATTTTTTATCTTTCTTTCTCTATCCTTTATTTTCAGTTAGTCCTACATAGAAGAAATCAGTGCTCCTGAGACAAACGTGTTTATACTACTTCTTCTCATATGTTCATTCACGTATTTGAAGGTCTCACATCTGAAGGCAAGTTTATGCCAAGAATGCACACGACACATCACCACAGCCCTCAGAGTACCCGAGAAGCTCTAGGTTTCCAACTTTGTAAATCAGAAGTTCACAACAGATTCCAAGGAAGGTATGTTACGAGTCGCCTTACAGCCAAATATGGTACACTAATAGGATCTTAGGGCTAGAAAGGAATGTAAACATAATTTCGCTAAACCTCCTTCTGCAACAGAGATTCCCTCTAGAACATCTCCTATAACAGATGGTCACAAAGGCACTGCTTACACACTCCCAGTTACAGGCACACATTGTTTTGCAGAGCAGACAGTTACAATTTTGACAGCCCTCATTAACCAGACATGATCCTTCTTTTGGACACGCATCCACATTCTTGTCATTTCCACGCCATCGCTGATGGGAAAAACCGAACATTCCAGGAGCAACTGGGTGGCTCAGCTGGTTGAGTGTCTGACTCTTGGTTTCAGCTCAGGTCATGAAATCGGTGTCCTAGGATCATGCCCCATGTTGGACTCTGTGCTCACAGGGAATTTGCTTGGGATTTTCTCTCTCCCTTTCTTTCTGCCCCGCCCCACCTCGCTCCCATATGCGTGTTCTCTCTTTCTCTCTCTCTCTCAAATAAATAAATAAATCTTTAAAAAAGGGGTGAACAGTCCAAGGGCAGATCCCACGTGATGGCACCGGAGCGCCCCCCACAGGTTACAATCGTTACTGACGAGCACTTCCACGTAGGTTTTCCCTACAGACCCTTCTAACAAAAGCACCTAATTTTTCTCTCTGTTGCCCTCAAGGAAGTCATGAGAGACTTCGTCAAACGTCTTACTGAAATCCATATATACAATTTCACTGGCATCCTCCCAATCTCTTTTCCAGACACTATCCATTTTTTTTTAAACCAGCCATTGCTAATAAAATTAAAAATTAAAAAAGAGCGATGTGATTTACAGAAGGAAAAAAACCAGCAGATTATTCTGTGTGTGGCACTGAGAACTGAAAGAACGGAGGAAGACCACCAGGGAGAATCCTTCCACGTCTTCAGCTCGAAAATAAAGACCTTATACACAGTCCACATTTTTCATCTGGAGCCATTTCAGGTTTGCTGGCAGATTTATGGCCCACCATAATTGGATCCCAGCCACTGAATTAGTTTTTTTTTTTTTTTTTTTTTAAGAGTGAATACAGGAAAAAGAGTGCCTTGAAATGACATTCACCATTTCTCTCCGTAACACCCTATGATGCCAAAGAAAACCAACAAGTCAATTTATGATCCAAACTATGGACATGCACTTAAACAGACATTTATATTTAGATACTGCTGGGAAAAAAAATTTCTGTCTCTTTTCAAGACTGACATGCTTTGCAAAAAAAAGCCTAAAAACATAAGTTGTACAAAATTAAGCTCAGTTCATCTCCACCCAGATGTTTTCCTCAGCAGAAGAAAAGCCACTAAAATGGCTTCTAATCAATCAAACCACAGCCTGCATTTTTCCCTCAAGGATTCTCTTAAAGCAAGGGAATGAGGTGTTTCTCTCTTCTCTAGTTCCCAAGATTGGACATTTCTGTAGGACAAAGAGGGTGTATGTCAACGTAGCTCTCCTTTGTTCTGGCAATGCTTAAGGGAAATAAAATGTGGCTTTATTTTTGTAAAGGGGAGTCCCGCTTTGAGAAAGACATAGTTTGACTAATGCGGAAGCTGTGTGCTGGGCGGTAGGGAAAAAGCACCAGCCCAGGAGTGGAGGACTTGGCTCCCAACAGCCAAAGGAACTGGCCACACACTCACTCGCTGTCAAGTGAGAGGATTAGGGTAGTTGATCTTTAAGCTTCTTTTGTGTTCTTTGCAAGATTTTATTTACTTATTTGAGAGCGCGAGAGAAAGAGCGCAGGAAGCAGAGAGAGCTGGGTGGGAACAGAGCTCTGACCAGTGCAGAAGGTTCCAGCCGTGAAGTAGTGGGAACACCTTGCATAGGTAAGGCATGGGCAGCCAGAATGGGCCTCCAACACAACCTGTCTCCAAACAAACCATTCTTCCTCCCCCCTACACTTATGTTCGCCTTCCTAAGCCAGAGACTTGTCGGTTGCCTTTGTTTCCCCATTTCTTCTTCCCTCTCTGCATATCCATCTTCTAAGGCCAAGTCCTATCAATTTCGCTTTCTAAGTATCGTCTCTGTTCCATCCTTGTTTCTACCCATCACTGCCTCTCACAAGCTCCTGCTGTCAGACTTGACCCCTCAAGTCCGCCCTTCACAATGCTGCCCCTGCCCGTATCTGGCAGAAGTCACAACTCAGATCATTTTCCTTCTCTCCTTAGGACCTTTCAGGTCTTCTTTTTCCCTTTCCAAAGGCTCCACAGAAACCCTGGAATTCCAGCAAGCACAATTTCACAACCACAGGCCTAAAAGGTCAAGTCCAATCCTTACCATGGGCTGTGGTCTTCCATACCCAACCCAAATGCCAAACTCCTCATCGTTTCCTTCACACACCACCAAGTTTTCCAGTGGCTATGACTTTGTGCATGCCACTCGCTCAACCATGAGTCCCCTTCCTGCTCTGCTCTGTACCACTGCCCTACACACACACACACACACACACACACACACACACACACACACTCACATGTGCAGACACCCAGGTGGCAGTGTGGACAATCACCCTGGCAGCAAAATGCCAACTGTATTAGAGCTGAGGGAATCTAGAAGGAGGGCCACCATCTGTGAGTGTTGTTTAATCCAGCAAACATTTATTGAAAAAGAGAAGGCAGGAAACTAATCAGACTCTTAACAGGTATTTGCTAAATGAAGTAATAAATTTATTGAGCAGCTCTAGTAAAAGGCAAAGTGCTAAGTGTTTATGAGCAAAGCACAATCCCTATCCTCAAGGAGCTTAAAAATATCACCTAGGAAAGAAGATGGTCCTCAGTCAAGGTCGAACGTGATGAATGCTCATGAGAGATGTACAAAGAAAATGCCACAGCAGTTCAAAGAAATGGGAGATGCTTTTCTTTTTTTAGGGGGGGGATGATTTTCATTGAGACTATCAGAGAATGTTCCACAAAAGAAATGTTATCTGAACTTTTCAGGAGGAGGCAGGCCTTGAACATGTGAAGGTAGAAGGGAAAGACTGAGCAGTGGGGGCACAGGGACAGAGGAGGCATATTCCCAGGGATTTCAGGGAGCACGGAAGACAGCTTGACTTGACTAGAGTAAGTCAAAGGTACAAAACACAAAAGCTGTAGCTGAAAAGATGGGTTAATGCTGGTCAAGAGTACTGATGCTAAAGCTGAGAAGTCCTGCTTCATTTTGTAGGCAGGACACAGAAGTAGCCACTGAAGTTTCACGAGTGAGGGAGAAGGGATGGTACCCCAACGTCCTGCCTTGGGCATATGATTCTGGCAGTTCTGTGGGACATGGAGGATCTCATACATGGAAAATGCCAAGCGTGGACCTCACACACAGAGCCGTGTTCAATAAAGGTACTTCCCTCTGAGAGAGAATGAGCAATGATGCAGCCATGGCCCCGGGATATGTGAGAAGAGTCGGGACCAGAGCATCGAGGTCAGCCTCAGACAGAGATTTTTCCTCCTCTGAGACAGGAAAAAAGGAAGAAGAGATGAGAATGCAAAGGAAAGTTGAAGTAAAAACTATAAATGTTCAGGGAAGTTCTGTAGGGTGGTCACCATTCTCAGAGAGTCAGGAAGCTGTCTGCTAAACATCAGGGATTCTGAGAAGGAGCTGGAGATGCCAGGAAATGAACAAAGGAAGAGAAACTCCTCATTCTCCAGCGCTAAGTCAGGGTCTGAGTCTTCGGTTTCCAATCTGTTGACGGGGCACAGCACCCAAACAAGACCTCATGCATGGAACCCAGCATATGAGTACAAACTGAAACCCAGAAAAAGGAGAGAGAAATCACAGAGAAAGAAGGAAATAAGGCCCAAGGACAACCTTGGATAAGACCCACGGTTGGTGGGTGGGCAGAAGGAACAACCAGAAAGAGAAGCAGCAGTCAGAAGTGTCAGAGGAAAATAAGGGTAAAATCATATTATAGAACCTAATGCAAGAGAGAATATTAACAATGTTGCTGTTATTTCTATACTATCAATTTTAATGCCTTTGTGAATATGATATTGAGATATAATAACATGCCAGAAAATAACAAAACCCTTCAAGTCTTTCATATTAAAACTTATGATTAATACATAGATCTCAGAGTCCCGGGATTAAGCCCTGCACCGGGCTTCCTGCTCCCTCTCCCTCTGCACTATAACCCCTGCCCCCCTACCACTGTGCTCTCTCTCAACTTCTCAAATAAACAAAATCTTGAAAAAAAAAAAAAACATAATGACATGAGTAGAAAATATGGATAAAACAAATAAACTAATATGCTGATTAGAATAATCTCCTTTTTATCCAATAATCTCCTTTTTATCCTCAACAATTTCTTCCCCAAAATCATTATGTTGCCCCACAAATCTCCTTTTAAAAGGTTAAAAATCAGATTCAGGGATGCTCGAGTGGCTCAGTCTGTTGAGCATCCTACTCTTTGATTTCAGCCCAGGTCACGAGAGGTCATGATTTCAGGGTCCTGGGATCGAGCCCCACGGCAGGCTCTCTGCCCAGTGGGGAGTCTATTTGAGGATGCCCTGCCTCTGCCCCTCCCCCTACTCACACACTCTCTTTCTCTCAAAGATAAATAAATCTTTTTTTTTTAAGATTTTATTTATTTATATGACAGAGAGAGAGATCACAAGTAGGCAGAGAGGCAGGCAGAGAGAGGGGGAAGCAGGCTCCCTGCTGAGCAGAGAGCCCGATGTGGGGCTTGATCCCAGGACTCTGAGATCATGACCTAAGCCAAAGGCAGAGGCTTAACCCACTGAGCCACCCAGCCACCCAAGCACCCCTCAAAGATAAATAAATCTAAAAAAAATCAGATTTGGAAGTTTTGGGGTTTTTTTTTTTTGGAGGTTGGACTCTTAAGCAACACAGCTTGAATGGAAGCATAACAAATACCCATTATTCATTTCTTCCTTCCTCTTGTGACAGATTTTGATCAAATTATATATAGACTCTTGGTCAAGTGAAAAACAATCTGAGGGCTAGCCAAACATATTTCCCTGGGTTCCTTGAGGTTGGGCCATGCTGCCCACTCACCTGCATGAGTTCATGGCTTTCCAGAAGGTCATTCTCTAGCATCTCCTGGGTAAGGCGCCCCATGGTGCTGTAGAATTCATCTGCTGTCTCACAGCATTCTATCTGCCTAGATAAAGAAAGGAGAGCAGAAGAAAATGTTTAGGCCCCCCTGTTGTTGTTTATCAGGTATATGCTGCAGGTGCAAAACAAGGTATTGCCTCTTGCCATCAAAGTTAGCAATCAACAAAAGTCACAATCCTAGGCACTTGTCCATAGCTTGGACACAGTTTGCATGTCCCGGCTTGCAATTCTCTGCTATTTCCAAATTAACCCATTTTGGCTGATTTTTTTTTTTTTTTATAAATCACAATCCTGGTAGACAGTCTACAAAAAAACACCAAAGGTAGCTTAGAGGTACTTGTTACAGGATGAGCTCCTATCTCTCATTTCTGCCCGCCAGCCTCACAGCCCCACCCGCGGCATCTTGCTTATTTTCATGTGACACATTCTACACAACACACCCACCATCTGTCAGAACTAATAACCACAAAATTGGGTCCCAAAGAACAATTACCCACTGTAGGGAATCTGGGGCCACGATGGTGCTATCACCGATAGACTGAAAGCAAACCACAGTAGAAGTGAAAGATGAAAAATACAAGAACAAGAACTTCTAACTTTTCTGCACCTTTCACCATCCCCAGGACGCTTTCACAGACAGAAATTTTTCTGTTTTTCTCTAGCTACTGTAGCCAGCTGGCCATTACACCGTGCTTCTTGCATTTGGTTCCACATGTAAGTAAAGAAACCTGTCACCTGGCAACCTGTAAGGCAGGTTAGACTTTCATCCTTCTGGCGGGGGAGAAAAAAGGAAGAGTTTCAAGCACAAAGCGCCGTGAGCAGCTCTTCCTGCCCGCGGGTCCTGGGGCCATGCTTTATTGCAACCACCTTTTTGGCACGGATAAATAAATAAGCAAATAAATAAATATCAAAAAATAAAGCAAAAATACCATGCATGTGTTTTATCTACTACCACGTTTTCTGTACAGTAGGATAATTGTATTTGCCCCCCCCAACCTATAAGACATACACTTTGACACATGCTAATGTCGGGGAATTTCCACGGGGCCATCCAGAAAACACCATGATGATGGAAAAACTGCAGGTGCTCAAGTGCACTCTTCAGTCCCCTTGCTATCAAGTGAAATAGCCTGTTGAAGTGTTATTGCAAAACTCCAGAGTAGCGTGTGGGCATAATTGAAAAAGTGGTTAAGTGTACCCTGGAGGGTGAGGAAAGGAAATAATGCTTCAGAAGAGTTCTGAAAAATATACTCCAGGCTGACAAGGAAGAAAAAGCTTTCCAAAGACGTGGATGCAGGAGACGGCAGGCCCTTTCCAGGCTGTGGAAGGAGCTCCATGCGACCAAAGGTGGCCAGGCGGCCTGCATGGCCAGAGGGTGACGGAGAGAGCGAGGGTACAGAGCTGCAGACAGCAGATGGCAATGGCGTCACGTGCCTGCTGAGGCTCTTCGGGGCAAGAGTCCCTGAAAGGCACTTCTGAGGGAGTGTGGGAACAGATGTGCCCTCGGCAAGGTCGGCTGGAGGTCACATGGCAAGTGTAGAGTACGATGGGAAGACCAGGGAGGAAACATGGCGCTAGGCCAGGATGACATGTGAGGGAGCAAGGCAACACAGGGGGTCAGAGGAGAAAGGATACTTGAGAGACGCCAGGGAAGGTTGTGCTGAGGGTCCACGGCTTACGGATTTCCAAAGCACCCCGTGATGTGAGTGAAAAGAAGAAATGCCAAGTTGTAGGAGGAAGGGGAATGGAGAGGTCCCACGGAGCTGTAGTTCATGATTTTTCCAGCAAAAAGTTTGTGGGGAGGAATACAGGCGCTGGAGTCCGAAAGATCCAGGATTAAGTCCCAGCTCTGCGGCTGAAGAGCTATGGGACCATGAGCTAGTTAATTCACCCTCTGGGTTAGCTTTCCCACTTAGAAAGGCCGGAGAAGAATCCTACCTACTTCCTGGGGTTATGCAGAGAACCAAATGAAACCAGGCGTTTAAGCTGCCTGATGTCATGACAGCACTGTGCTGGCTGCCTTTCCTTTCGTTTAGTAAGTGGCATACTCAAAAAGATGTAGAAGTGCAGGGAGCAAAGACACTGAAACATTTAAAGTCCCACCAGTGTCATTCCTCTATCCCCTGAACTTCATAAACAATACCGGTTTATTGTCAGTAGACTCATGTTAGTAAAAGTGCAGATTCTAGGGGCACGCGGCTGGCTCAGTCGGGGGTAGAACATGTGACTCTGGATCTCAGGGTTGTGGGTTCGAGCCCCACATTAGTTGTAGAGATTATGTAAAAATAAAATCTTAAAAAAAAAAAAAATAGTGCAGATCCTAGAGCCAGGATATCTGCGTTCAAAATCAGGCCCTACCACTTACTGAGTGACCTTGGGCAATTCACTTAACTTCTCTGTGGCTCAGTTCCCACATCTGTAAGATGGGGGTGAGAATAGTACCTACCTCAAAAAATAATGGTGAGCACTAAACGAGCTAGTTTCACCTCTACAGTGCTTCGAGCAATGCTGGTCCACACCATGACTCCCCTGGGAAGACCAGACAAATTCTGATCCTATGCGTAATGGATGGGGGCGGGGGGAGTAAAACCAGAATCTCTTCTTTTCCTCCTGCTCCATAACTAAGAATGAGCACAAAGGTGACTTCAACAGACTCAGCCTCAGTAAAGTGCTACACTGTTTTAATTCCATAAACTAGTTACCCGGTAACTGGACTATCCCACCCACAGACACTGTCAAAGTTCAAGGAGCTTCGGGCATAGAGTAAGTTGGAAATGTAGGACTGCAGAAAGATCTAGATATCGAAGGAAAATGAAAAGATAAGTAAACAGCACTCCAAATCCCCAGCAGACTCATTTATTTGCCCAGCTGAGAAGCAGTATACCAAAAATCAAAAGCGAAGAAGATGGCTATGTGCTGTTTCCAAACAGTTGTACAACATGATGATCTTTCTAAATCCCTGAATTGATAGTTGGTGGATCTTTCTTGCAAAAAATGGGAAATACTGCAAGTCTCCCAGGAAACAACTTAACATAAATGAAAGGCTGGTTAAAAGGTTTTTGAAACAAAACACGGGCAGTGATTTATTAGTTTTCTGACATGTTGTCTATGAGTACTCACTCAAGTCATTTAGAACACTAGGAAACAAACATTAAAAACTTCTCTGCATCTCAACTCTAACAATTTCATCCTAATGTCCCTTCCATTACCCAAAGTGTAGAATTTTAACATAATAGTCATAATATATTAGAGATGGGTGAAAATACCCTCCTTTTCACAGTCCCGCTACTGGTAACAAATACAAGTAACATCTGTGTGGTACTATGTTTGGTAGTAACATATTTCATCACAGAATTAATTCCTGATGAAAAATAAGAAGTTCAATGTGCTCTACCTTTTTTTTTTAAGTAGGATCCACACGCAAAGTAGGGCTTGAACTCACGACCCTGCAATCAAGAGTCGCATGCTCTACTGACTGAGCCAGCCAGGTGCCCTCTGTGTGTTCTACTCTTGACTATGTACTAAGCACCAGAGAGACCCTATACATATTATTTCATTTAATTTTATTATGGCCCTGAAGGGCAGAACTAAATAAATACTAAGGACTTAAAAATCATTCAAATCGTGAATGTTAACCAACAAACACAGATACTCCTCTCCCAATCTTCTTCTTCCATCTCAGTTCCTCTCCCTCCCTCTCTTCCCAACTAGAGTCCAGGGAGAGAGTGCACAGTAAACCAGCCAGGACACTAGCACTGAAGTAGAGATCTACAGACCTGGAAAAGCCTGCCCCCCCTTCCCCAACATAGATTCTATTTGCCCCTCAATAATCAAGAATCAGCCAACTAAGATTCCAGAAGGCTAAAGCAATTCAACAAAGTTCCCAACTTTCTCTTTTGCTCCTACTTAAATATAGATGTTTTTCACATTAGAGCACAAAATTGCTTAAAGCCCCCCACACCACAGAACAAAACAGAATGGGGAAATCACTTACTCTCCTAATTTTGCCCAGATGGCCAACGACACTCTCAAGATAATTTCCGAACCTTCAAAGAAGACTGAATCCCAGATCTTTAAGACCGTATGGTTAGGGAGGCACGTAGCAAAGAGAGTCAGAAACCACTGCATCGTGAAGACATTCGTGAGTGGGGGCTCATAGCCACCTGAAATAAAACAAACATTCTGTGTTTCTTCAGAATTGATGCAAGATATAAAATTAGCCTTGTTCAATCATCCACAACCACCAAATATGTTACATTTCCTAACTGATTTCTTTAGATCTCTAAATTTTGGTTCTTTCCTCCCTTGTCTCCTTCCTTTTTTTGGAAGAACACAGGTGTGTTTGACAAAAAAATCTCAATAAGGGATTTTCACAAATTCTTTATGATACTTCAAAAATGTTTTTTCTAAAGATTTTATTTATTTAGTTATATGACAGAGAGAGAAAGAGAGCACAAACGAGGGGAATGGTAGGCAGAAGGAGAGGGGGAAGCAGGCTCCCCGCTAAGCAGGGAGCCCAACGCAGGGCTCAATCTCAGGACCCTGGGATCATGACCTGAGCCAAAAGCAGATGCTTAACTGACTGAGCCACCCAGGTGCCCCGATATTTCAGAAATCTTAACCTAAGATTTAATTTGGCTCTACCTATTTTGGGGTGTTGAAAATTAAGGAGAATGCTCTCCTCACCAAAAACAGGATAAAAAGAAAGGATTTTAGCCTCTTAAAAGTAGAATCCAATTTTCGAAACCTCATAAAGGCCACTTTTATTCAAGTGCTGCTGATAAAAACATGGCTCTTTATGAAATTACTTGTCTACTTCTTAAATTATGCAGAGCTCTCAGACCACAGTGGAATTAAACTGGAAATCATAACAGAAAGAGAGCTGGAAAAGCTCAGAGTATTTGCAGATTAAACAACATGAAATTTTTAAAATATTGTGAATTAAACAATCCACACAGCTCACACTGAAGTTTCTGAATTTACCAAAAACACAGAGCTCCCTCCTACTTCCTGTGATGGCATTAAGTATGTATTTTATGAAATGTAAAAATGTAGGTATTTAAACTGATTCTCCCTCCAAATTAGTCAGACTACACATTTACCCAAGGATAAGCCAAACAAGATCTGTTCTCCTGCACTCATTTTCTCTCTTCTTCTGCAAAAACAAAGGAGCATCATGGTTCAGAAAATTAAGAATCTGAGGGCAGCACTTCCGGGCAAGTTCAGGACATTTGGAGGCAAAGGTGGACCTCAGGAAAGCATGTCTGACATCGGACAGGCAAGGCAGTCTATCCGTATGTATTAGAACACCCCCAGAGGTGTGCAAGGGCACTGCACAGCCAAATTAAAGATTATCCAGGTGGCTGAGAAGGAAATGCTGAGAGACAGCTAGGTATCACTAAAATGTCCAGTGTCCTGTAATCACAGATTAGGTCCTCACATCCTTTCCTATTTTCCCAGATTTCAATGCATGGGTGCGAAACCGGCAACCATTTCCAGGAAACACAACAAACTTCATTATTCTTCCTGGGACCCCTGCACAGAGCCAGGCAAGTGCAGGCAGCAGGTACAACCACAGCCTCGAGCTCGGGCTCCTCAGCAAGGGGGGCCATGCCCACCAGAGAGCGGCAACTCAGGGCCTCCCACTTGCTGAGCAGAGGCTCCACCCCTCCCTCGACCCAGGGCCTCTCCCCCTGCAGGGTTCCGAAGCTTACCTGGAGGTCCGGGGAGCCCTTCTCCAGAAAGAGCGGACCCATTCATCTCTACTAAACCTAAATACCCCTACCATGGATAGATAAAAGGAGCACTGAACATCCAAATCCAAAAGACTGTTGGTTTATCTCCTAAAACTTAAGGGGGATGCATATTTGACTCTCCACAGGTTCCATGGTTCAGGCAAAAGCACAGTCTGTGTGAAATCGTATAGTCGCTCAGCTTTAAAGAACTCCTATGGGCTGGTATGAGCTGAGAGCAGCTGAACTAGATGGTAAGACAGACTCTCCATCTAGGGAGCAATGTATCCTGTGTGGTGTCCATCCAAGACTGGTAAAGTACTCGGTTCTTGACGGACCTCCTAACCAGGACCAGTCTGAGGTTCAACACGGGGCCCTATGATTTTTTTTTTCAGTTGTGTTTTTGTTCTCTAACCATCTATTTCAATGCACCAAACCCTCATGAACAGAAATACCTGAATACAAGTATTTCTGCGCAAGGTCTAGGCTCAGGGGGGACAGTGGAAATGGGGGGAGTGAAATATTCCCAGGGGTGTAACGGCGCTGAGTCATCACTACCTCCACTTTCCTTGTTCGCAGTTCTCTGAAGAGTGTCCAGGTGCTGAGATAACTCAGGGAGCTTCAGGCTCAAGAGATCCCTGAAGACAGCCATGTCCACGGACAGAGCCCGGAGGTTATTGACAAAATAGCTTTCAGGAAGTACCTTATCAATAAGGTAAATCATAATCTGAAGAAAAAGATAAAGAATAAGATCGCTTCCTAAACACTGAGATCCCAACACGTCCCAAATAAAAGGAACATATTAAAAAATGCAGTTAGCCAAAGCACACCATCATTCCAATGTGTCAATACTGAATGTTCTGGACTTCCATGGCTCATCTCCACGCTGGGTGAGGAGCGAGAGGCGTAATTATTAAAGGAACTCAGACCCACAGTCCACTGCTGTCTGAAGTTTCTAGATGGGCCACCAGACCTGAGTTCAGCCCCTAAGGAGCTGTGCTGGTACAAGGCTCAGCCTCACTCAGTGATGGAGCCCGAGCTCCATCAGCAGCGAGCAGCAATCCCATACTGGCTCCCTGGTGGCAGCACAGTTTCACAACCTTCATATGAAAACCAAGAGCTGAACCATCATAAACCTCACCCCACCCCGCCTCAAACGAAAGCAAGTCTAGAGACGCACTTAGCATCAACCTGGTTATTGGAACTGAGAGTGGCTTTCCGTCCACTTTCCTCTCCCAGGACAATGCAACAAGGATTTTGTTTGAACATGTGGTACTTTCAAAGTCTGGATTTCTTTCATAAGATTATCTCACAGGTTCTTCAAATTACTATTTTCATTCTTACTTTTCTATTTGTGTTACCTTTGCTAAGATGTCAAGAACCACCAGAATGACCCAGCAAAACACACGAGTTCTGTGTGTCAATCTCTGGTCCTTACTCCGTCAGCTCGTATCCTCTGCTGTGCTCCTCCTCCCTAGAAGACCACTCACTCCCCGGAGCACAGGAAAAACAAAATTAAGAATAAAATCATAGCTGGCCCTATACCATGGTCTCACATTTTAACTTTCAGTCTAACACAAAACTCTATTTCCCAAGAAAATTATCTCCCAGACCTGACAAGGGCCCATATTTCCCTCATCTCTGGCTTCCAATTTCTACTTTCTAGGTTCAGTGTTTTAACTAAGCCAATAAGGACTGGGCCATTCTCTTGAGAGAGTCCCTCTGAGACCTTTATTACAGGGGGAGCTGAGCAATAAAAGGAGAACAGTAGATTCGATCTGTGTGGAGGAAGGAGGTCCTGAAGGGACTAGGGCCAGCTGATGAGGGGGTACAGATGTCCAGCAGAGAAGACTGCCCTCTCTGAGTAAGGAGAAGAGGGATGGACAGACTCACAAAGGCAATATTTAAAGGTAATGGTCTATTATGGCACTTTTTATCTAAGGATATAATACTGAGCGAGATACTTCAGCTTTTCTGAAGAAATGATGATCTCTCAAAATTACACGAAACAAGAAAAACAAAAATTTTCAGTTATCATAGTAATTCCTGTGACACACTGAAATTCTCTGTCCAAAGGCATCTCAAAGTCTCACACAGGGCATCAGAGACGGCCGTGTGTCGTGCTAGGTGGGTCAGTCCCCCCACTGTTACATTTTGAAGACCACACATTAGATCTTTTTTTTTAAAGATTTTACTTATTTATTTGACAGACAGAGATCACAAGTAGGCAGAGAGGTAGGAAGAGAGAGAGGAGGAAGCAGGCTCTCTGCTGAGCATAGAGCCCAATGAGGGGCTCGATCCCAGGACCCTGAGATCATGACCTGAGCCGAAGGCAGAGGCTTTAACCCACTGAGCCACCCAGGCGTCCCCAAGCATTAGATCTTTAAAAAAATTTCAGATAAATCATGGCAATAGAGCAAAAATAGTGTCTCCAATAAATGGTGCTGGACCAATTGGACATCCACATGCCAAAAACTAAATCTAGATACAAACCTTACACTTTCACCAAAAAATGATTCAAGAGAGAACGCAGACCTAAATGTAAAATGCAAAACTATAAATCTCTTAGAAGATAACATAGCCTAGATGACCTTGGGTATGGTTATGACTTTTTAGATGCAAGAGCAAGGACATGATCCATGAAAGAAACCATTGGTAAGCTAGATTACTTCAAAATTAAAAACTTCAGTTTTGTGAAAGACAATGTCAAGAGAATGAAAGGACATGCCACAGATTGGGAGAAAATATTTGTCAAAGACGTATCTGATAAAAGACTGTTATCCAAAATATACAAAGAATTCTTAAAACTCCAAATAAAATAATGTGACTAAAAATGGACCAAACAGGGGCACCTGGGTGGCTCAGTGGGTTAAAGCCTCTGCCTTCGGCTTAGGTCATGATCCCAGGGTCCTGGGATCGAGCCCCACATCCGGCTCTCTGCTCGGCGGGGAGCCTAATTCCCACCCCCCACCCCCGCTACCTCTCTGCCTACTTGTGATCTCTGCCTGTCAAATAAATAAATAAATCTTTAAAAAAAAAAATGGACCAAACAAGTACTTTGCCAAAGATGCATTCAGATGGGATATAAGAAAAAAAAATAAATAAATAAAAAGATGGGCTATAAGCATATGAAAAAATGATTCACATCATGTATCATCAGGGAAATTCAAATTAAAACAGGATACCACGGCACACACCTATTAGAATAGCCAAAATCCAGGGGCGCCTGGGTGGCTCAATGGGTTAAGCCTCTGCCTTTGGCTCAGGTCATGATCCCAGGATCCCAGGATCAAGCTCCACATCGGGCTCTCTGCTTGGCAGGGAGCCTGCTTCCCCCTCTCTCTCTGCCTGCCTCTCTGCCTACTTGTGATCTCTCTCTCTCTGTCAAATAAATAAATAAAATCTTAAAAAAAAAAGAAAGAAAGAAAGAAAAAAGGAAAGAAAGAAAAAGAATGGCCAAAATCTGGAATGCACACAACACCCAATGTTGACAAGGATGTGGAGCAACAGAAACTCTCACACATTGCTGGTGGGAATGCAAAATTCTATAGCCACTTGGGAAGACAGTTTGGTGGTTTCTCACAAAACTAAATATACTTTCACCATCTGATCCAGCGATCACTCTCATTGGTATTTACCCAAAGGAGCTGAAAACTCATGTCCACACAAAAATTTGTGCACAGATGTTTATAGCAGCTTTATTTATATTTGCTGGAACTTGGAAGCAGCAGAGACGTCCTTCAGTAGGTGAACAGATAAACCGTGCATACCCAGACAGTGGAGTATTATTCAGCACTAAAAATAAATGAGCCACCAAGCCATGAAAAGACAGGAAGGAACCTTACAGGCTTATTACAAAGTGAAAGAAGCCAATCTTAAAAGGCTACATACTGTATGATTCCAACTATATGACATCAGGATAGAGCAAGAGATCATAAAAAGATCAGTGGTTACCCAGGTAGTGGGGGGTAGGGGGGAAAGGCGGGGGGATAACCAGCAGAGCACAGAGGATTGTTAGGGCAGTAAACACACTCTGGATGAATATTATAATGATAAAGATACGTCATTAAACATCCGTCTGACCCACAGAATGTACAACACCAAGGGTGAATTCTAATGTAAACTATGCAATTTAGGCAACTATGACCTGTACCAGGCAACCTGTGGATTGTAATCCATGTTACAATCGTGGATTGTAACAAATGTACATTTGGTGGGGAATGTTGATAGTGGGGAAGCTGTACACTTGTGGGAGCAAGAGGCATATGGAAAATCTCTGTACCTTCCTCTCAATTTTGCTGTGAACCTGAAACTGCTCTAAAAAAATTACATATTTTTTAAAAGTAAATAAAGAAGGAGCCTAAACATTTTAACAAATGGTTCAAAACAGTTACTAAGAAAAAACAGTAAGTGCTGAAAAGCACGCAAAATGGTTTAACTACTTCTCAAATAAACTATTTACTTGTTTAATAATTAAAACTTGCAGGGGCCAAAGTGGCAGCTAAAAAACACTGACCCCAATATTTTCCCTTGCATCTGAAGTGATTCTTCATGAATCCAATCTTCCTCTGCATATTCAATGTCTAACCACAAGATTCTGAAATGATGATGATGTCATTTCATCTCACAGAGTTCGTTTTCTTAGAGGCAGAAATATAAATATTCAGTTCCTCAGCTTTATCTCATCCATCTTTTTTATGTGAATTTTTAGTTTGTCAAGGAATTTCTTTCATGATTTGAATGGCAAGTATTTCCCTGCCCCCAGACCTCTCCACCTCACTCCTAACCTGAATTGCTTATTCCAACTTTTCAACAGTCCTTTTTATAGTCACAGAAATAACATCTGAAAAGAACAAAATCAACTAAAGCTGATAGACTGAGCAAAACAAAGGCTTAATAAAAAATGTTTTGAACTCATGTATTTGATTTGTCATTGGCTCCTCTCTCCCCCACTAATGTGACGAAGAAGGAGTTTCAGAGCTGTTTCCTGAAGTACAGGAACGGAAAAAATGAAAGGGTGAATACAGACTTAGACTAGGTCAGGCTGGGTTTATAATTAATTCCACCATGATGCATATAAAACCTGGAGGAACATTTGTTTATTTTTCCATATGACATTAGTCAGTGCCCAGGAATATCACTAAGGTATTTATCGCAGTCAAACACAAGGCTGGGGCCGGGGGAGACTCCTGAAAACAAAGACTGAGTATCCATCCCATCCATCACAAAGCATTTACAACCCATAGCAGTTTGAGGGTTCAATTATGAATTTGCAATCCCATACTGCCCCAGGCTAATAAGCAAGCAGCCATCCTGTGCATGTGAAATGCTTCATTTCTCATAAAGATTATTTCTGGTGACTCACAGACTCCATTCCAATTTATTAGCTTAAATTGCTTGTAACCCATCTCAAAGTGTTTCCAGAATGTTTTTACTGATAAAGGTTCCAGGCATTGAAGATTAAAAGATAATAAAATATAATTCACTTCCATAACCTTTTTCCATGCAAATACCTTCCATCATATACATGTACTCTCAGCTTACCTCCTCCATACCACTCCCCATCTATGAGATAGTAAAGCAATAAAAAGATCCAACCGGAATTAAACATAACTTGTGGAGCAGGCAGCTTCTAACATGACGACCTCATGACCTCCACCTCTTGATAGTCACATTCTTATTGAGCCCTTCCCCTTGAGTAAGAGCTGGACCCAATGACTGGCTTCTAATGAACAGAATAAGGCAAAAAAGATGGAATGCAGCTTCTGGTATTAGGTACAAATCTGCAGTTTAATCTCTCCTGCCTTGCTCATTCTCTTTTACTCTCCTACTCACTCTGAGGGATGCCAGCCACCTTGTTGTAAGATGGAGACATGGCAAAGAACTAAAAAAGGTCTCCAGCCAATAGCCAACCAGGAACCTAGGCCCTGGGCCAGCCACCTGTGAGGAATTAAATCTTGCCAACAACCACATGAACCTGGAAGTGAATGCTGTCCCCAACTGAGCCTTCAGATGAGGCTGCAGACCCAGCCAACAGTTTGGATGACACAACAATATGACTTAGAGCCAGCTACAGTGCACCCAGGTTCCTGACTCAAAGAAACTGTGAGGTAAATCATGTTTGCTATTTTAAGCAGCTAATTTGTTACAAATCATGAAAAATTAATACAATTCATATTCAACTTGCTTTAAAAATGTGATGTTTTATCTATGGGATCAAAAACAATCATTCTCCTCACATCTGGCAGATATGTGAGTCCGTCACTTGACCTGGCTTTAACATGGGGGAAGTGGTGATTATGGGTCATTCATTACAAGGTATAGCAAATGGCCATCAGGGAAGAGGAATGACAGTTCCAGTATTTCACTCTCAGAAGAATTTCAACTGCCCTCTTCAGAGCCCCATACTCACCTTCAGTGCATCCCCTTCATTGCCTTCCACTACTTCCAGAATTAAAGCAGCCAGGATGTTAAAGCCTTGGCAGTACCCAACATTCTTGTTCCATCGGGCATAGGCCAACAGGACCCGTTTTAACACAACCCTGTCCTGCTCAGCCTCCTGGCCACAGTAGGAACTGCAGCCTGTGCGGTGAAGATCCTGAAGAAGGCAAACAATATTTTTTTAAAATGTCTCCTTATAGTCTCTCCAAAAAATGCCTTTAACTTTGTCTCAGCATTAAATAGAATCGGATTATCAGCATGGATTTTTACCTTTTAAAAATGTTTAGGTACCCTATACACATGGGCCAAAACAATTTTTAAAATTTTCTTTTTCCTAATGTTTTCTAATATGCTAAGATACATTTTTTTCCCAGTTTTTTTGAGATGTAGTTGACTTAGAACACTGTCAAGAGCAATTTCAGTCAGGCAAATTTTCTAACCTTCTTCAGAATTTTCTGTCAAAATTTAAAGTATTTCCAGAATTAATACAAAAGTGACTCAATTAACAGAAATTACATTCTATTTCTATATAAACTGAAAGTTTCTTTTAATACTATGTCTCGGATAAAATAAGAGTCATTTCAATATATGCGTGATCAGTGCTAGTATTATTCCTTTCTCTGAAATGAGATGTAATATTCAACTATCAAAACTCCAAATAATATTAAGGAGCAATATCAAAATAGCAAAAAATGCAATACTGTAGAGAGACAGGAAAATCACTCTGTCCAAGACAGAAAAATCTATCCAAATTATTTATAAATTTGTATAAAAAATAAACATCTATCGTGCTTTAGTATTTAATGAAGGCAATATATATAATTTAATAACTAAGCAGAGACTATGATTTTCAGGAGCTAATGTCATTTTACTGACACAGCATTCACTTCAATGAGAAAAATTAAAGATCCTCTAAATAACATGATTGTTATAAAATGTATACTGCCTTAACTCACAATTTAAATAGAAAGAAAACCTTTCAAACATGGAATACTTCATCTCTGAGAAACATTCTGAAATTCCAAATAAACGGCTAAAATATGGACAGCACCCAGGCTTTATAAACATACAAAATAGAATTTCATCATTCTTTTTAACATTTGTCTGAAACGGACTGAGTTAGATCATAAAGCAGCTCCTTTCATAGTTAGGACTTCTTCATGAAAAAAGTATCTTCAAATCTGTCAAAACCTTAGCCAAATTCTGGTGGCCAAAATTAATAAGAGACAATTTCCCTTTTAAAACTCCAGCTTAGGGGTGCCTGGGTGCCTCAGTTGTTAAGTGTCTGCCTTCGGCTCAGGTCATGATCCCAGGGTCCTGGAATCAGAATCAAGCCCCTCGAGCCCCCCAACCCCCCCATCCCCACTTCCTAACCCCCCACCCCATCCAGGCTCCCTGATATGCTCCCTGCCCAGCGGGAAGCCTGCTTCTCCCTCTCCCACTCCCCCTACCTATGTTCCCTTGCTTGCTGTCTATATGTCAAATAAATAAATAAAATCTTTTCAAAAAATAAAAAATAAAAATAAATAAAACCAGAGCTTAGCATTATACTGTAATGAACTCATATAAAACCAAAAGCCATGTGTTAGAGGCTTATGTAAGAGAACAAGAGTGGGATCAAATTGAATCAGCAACCTTGGCTTTTGGCAACAGACCCCAATCAATTGTAATAATCCCAGTAGGCAAACCACAGCTGTCTCCACAGCTGGCTTGAACCCTTGACCATCTGGTTTTAAGTAGACCCATCAGTCAATCTGACTATCTTCATAAATTGGCAGTTAAGAAATTATCAAAGATCCTAACACGAACCCACTCTAACATGAAATATACTTAACTTTAAATTTCACAACCTGTAACTTTCATGTAAAAATCCAGCTAACAGCACTGACCCATGCTAAAGAAAGAAAAAGAAATTTCAATCTCCTATCAAGTGAGCAAGTAAATAGAATATGAATAGGAACATTTTCTTCTTACCACCAACATGCAAATTTATGAAAACAAGACAGAGTCAAAGTTCCCATTAAAAGGCTGTTAACTAACGGAATAAGAAAGCAGAAAATATACGGACATTCAGACCATTAGGTTTGATCCTCTGTCCAGGGAACATCTGGCTCTTAGAAACCTCCTTCCAAGTCAAAACAACAGGTGAAACTCAGGGGCCTTACCTTGACTATCTGAATTCCCATCGAGTCATCATCAGGATTACTCCTTTCGTTGAAAGTGAAACGCATGGTTTTGTCCCAATCAATAGCTATACTGTGCAAATACTGATCTGCCAAAGTCAACCAAACCTAAAATATTAAGAGATAAAGAAGAATCCTAAAGTAAAATATATAATTTCACCTTTCTTTATTAAAAAAAAAAAATAGTTATTGCAGCTAACAAGAAAATGGGAACAAATCCACATGTAGAAATCAACTTTTCATTGAAATGTTTGCTATACTGAATTGCACCAATTAGGGTCTTTCATTTATTATTTCCATCAATATTTGTTGACCTTAATATTCCATTAATATTTCCATTAATATTTGTTGACTGCACTAAGCAATGATTCAGCCATTAGGGAGGGATACTGTTAAGGAAACAAAAAATTTTTTCAACTCTTATCTCAGTTCACTGGATTAGCTATACTATCTTCTGAGATTGTTATACTTGGCTTGGAATCACTCTCTGTACTTGGACATTCGTGGAGAATGGGTCTTTTTTCACCGTGGAGCAGCCTCTGCCTTTAAATCATCCCTCAATCTCTCTCATACACACAAAACTGACAGATGGGGTCCCATAACGAATAACTTTTTTTTTTAAAAGAGTCACTGGATATTTTTATTCCTTTGATGACTTTATTCCAAAAAGCTCTTTCTGTAAGAAACAGGGGAACCCCCAATGTTCAAATTCTAAAGGTATTAAGACTAGGTTTATACTGAGGGTTGCTGGATGGGAGGAGGGTGGGAGGGATGGGGTGGCTGGGTGATGGACAATGGGGAGGGTATGTGCTCTGGTGAGTGCTGTGAATTGTGTAAGACTGATGAATCACAGACCTGTACCCCTGAAACAAATAATACATTATATGTTACTAAAAAAAAAAGACTAGATTTGTAAATTAATATATTAAGAAAGCACTTCAAGTTTTTGTATTTGAACATAATTTAGCAGGAGGTACACTGATCAATATCCCCAGCCAGATTTTTCTCCCAAGCATCAGAACCACATACCTTATATTCAATCTAAGGAATCCATGTCCACTTAGTCCTCAAAATACATCTAGACTCTGACCCCTTTTCTCCATCTCCACTATGGCAACCCTGATCCACCTCTTGCCTGAATTACCCCAAGTCTTCCACTGATCTCCCTGCTTCCGCCCTTGTCCTTCATATTATCAAGCCAGGGAGGTCCATTTAAAATATAAGTTTTATCATGTTACTCCCCAGCTCAAAACTTCCCAATGCTTCCCGTCTGAGACTGGGCAAAGCTCCTACTGCAGTTTCTAATGTCTACATGACCTGCCATCTCCTGACCCCCATCACATTTATCTCTATGACCCTCTCTCCAAATGCTTTCCCCTTGGTTCACTGTGCTCAGCACCCCCAGTGCCTTCCTTGTGCTTGCATACTCCGGAGACGATCTCGTGGGAGGGTGCTTCCTGTTTGGAGTGCTGGTCCCCCAGGTAGCTCCCCTCACCCCTGCTCACCACCATCAGGGCCCTATTCAAATTTTACCTTGCTATTTAAAATGCCACCTCCTTATCTCCATTCCCCCACCCCCACGGCTCTCCTTTCTTTCTCTGCTTTATTTTTATGCATGGCACTTATCACCATCTGACATACTTTATATTTTATGCATTGTAAACTCCGTGAGGAGGAAAATTTGGGTCTGTTTTATTTATCCTCCCACTCCTATATCCTCAGGACCTGGAACAGTACTTGGCATAGAATCGATAATCAATAAATACTTACTAGATGAACAAATCATGAAGAGAGACAGCCTTCAAATTACTAAATCTAGAATGTTCTTTTGGACATTTCAGACATTTTAAAGAGGAACAGAGTGCCGATCCTTTTGTATTTTAGCCCTTTGAATCCCCCTTACCTTTCTCCTCCATTCCTTTGGTATACCTGTTGACAGCCTGGCAACTGCCTTCAGAGCATCATACCACTAGGAACAGAGAAAAAACATTGGCAAAGTGATAATATTGACCTGGATAAGCACTTTTCAAACTTTTTCCTATTTTGACATCCAGAAAGTATGAGAAAATTTGTACAGCACACTGAGGTAAACAGAGCTTCTTTCAGCCCAGCTCCAAGGCCTGCCCCCCCACCCCCCCACCCCCCCCACCCCCGCCCGAAGTCCTCTTAAGACACCTGAGACCTGCGTCCACACACAATGGCTGGGAAGCTCTAGTTCAAAACAAAAACATGTATTATTCAAAATAATAGATGTTCCGTTTTTTAAATTTATTTTCACACCTGCACCATTAATAGCAAGTACAAAATTTTTCACTGCAGGTATAAACACAGGCCATTTATAAGCTCATAAGTTAATTTATCTATAATTTTAAAAACTGACGTGCCTTATGTGTAGTAAAGTATATGTTAGTTTTCCTACTTCGAGAATATACCCTGTGTGCCTTGTAGATTCCCCCAAATAAGAGTATTTTCAATAACCAAAAATAGTTACCTGCTGAAAACCATTTTGACCTAAAGATGGCTCAAGAGTGAACTTCAACTTTGTATCAACTCCTAAAAGAAAAATATACAACTGTTATTTTGGAAGAAAATACCAAGTTAGTCCAAAAATAAAAGTAAAAATTAACCTGATTCTACTGAATCATCATAAATTTTTAGAACATATATTTTTTGCTAAATTTTAGTCAATTTTGTTAAAATAAAAGGTAACAATAGTGATTTTTAAAATAGAAAAATATCCTGTGGCCACTAGAATGAAGCTTATCACATAGAATGGTGGCTTCCAAAGCTGTCTGGAGTAGTTAAAAAAAAAAAAAAAAAAAAAAATATATGATACCACAGACTTGGAGGGAGAGGGAGAGAATCTTATGCAGGCTCCATGCCCACAGCAGAGCCCAGGCAGGGCTAGATCTCAGGACCGTGAGATCATGAGTTAGGCCGAAACCAAGAGACCGTGGGCTTAACCCACTGGGCCACCCAGGAGCCCCTCAAATCTTTATCTTTAAAATGAGGGTAATAATATCTCAGTAGACTGAGTGTTGTGATGATTAACTATAAATCACCTAGCACAGTATAATTTATATTTATGAAATTTAGGAAGATAATTCTCTACTTACAGAATTTGTTTTCTAAGACATGCATGAACTAAGTCGACGTAGGAAACCTCAGTGAAATATTAAAAGTTATGAAAATAATGTCACTGCCTTCTCACTTGTGGAATAATCCACGTTAACAATCTTATTTAGAGATTTTCATGTATCTTAAAATTCTGTCATGATACACTTGCTCATTGAAGATAAAACAGTTGGTATGTTTAATCATAGACTACAAGCTAAAAATATAACTGAGCTCTAATTCCAAGTTGTCTACAACTTTAAATAAACTTCTTTGATTCCAGTCCCAAATCTAAGGAAGAGGAGAAAATAAATAGGAGAATATATCAAGACAATGTGCTTCTAATATACAAAGACTATATGCAATATTCATATTGGGCTCTTATGAATCCCATGTTAGATGTGTGTGCTGTTGTTCCTGAAGGAAATAATATCAAGGATGTCTGGTAGCTCAGTCTTTAAACGTCTGCCTTCGGCTCAGGTCATGAACCTAAGGTCCTGGGATCAAACCCAGTGTGAGGCCCCCTGCTCTATGGGGAGTCTGCTTCTCCCTCTTCTTCTGCCCCTCCCCCACTGCTGGTGCTTGCACGTGCACTCTCTCTCTCAGTTGGTGCTTACTCTCTCTCTCATTTGCTCTCAAATAAATAAAACAAAATCTTCAAAAAATAATAAAATCTAATCTGAAAATGTTATTTTTTCCTACAATTTGAAAATCAATTAAATCATATTTCAAGTCATTTTTTAAAGATTATTAAAAGTTCAAGGATCAAGATATATCAAACATTATTAACAGCATTTCAGTTTTAAAATTTATGATTCTCATTTATGACAGTATTTGCTTCTAAGATGTTGACTGCAGATTAGGCATATGGAAAACCTCCTGACACTTCCACTGCTTAGGAGTTGGTATGTAAATAGAAACTATCTTCAGAATTTAGAATTACAATAAATAAAGTAGACTTGTGGACTCAAGCAATATACGATTTGCCCAAGCCCATGACAGTGTGCAGATGCCCTTCTTGGAAGTCCTAGAAGAGTACTGTGAATACAAGACTTGGGTCCTAGATTTCTAAAGTCAAGCTGTGTTACAGAATCCCAGGCATCCAGTCAATGCCCTGATACGTCTTTTCAAAGCTTCAAGACCACAAGCATATTCTGCCTGAAAAGATTTCCTTCCCCAAGGGAAGTACCCCCTCAAATTCTAATCTCTCTGAGATGATTTAAATGAAGTCCTGCTTCGGTGCAGAGCAATGACACAATGGCCACATGATTGCCTCCAGCTGGGGCGAATGATTTAAGGCACTATGAGAAACACACTTTGTTGTAAGGTTGCTGTCCAGATGCGGAGTGCTGAACGGAGGAGCATGTCATCATGACTTTTGCTTTATTGTAACAAAGACAAGAAAATTCTGTCCGCGCAGAGTTATTTCAACCGACCTGAAATCTCTGGATTTCCTGACCGTATGACCGAATATGCTCCCTTTGCTTTTTCAGAGCACCTGCTGGGCATCAGGTGCTGAAAACCGGCTGGGGTTAGTCTAAACCACAACTATTTTCTCACGATCTAAAATGAGTCACAGGATTTAACTGGAATTGATCATTCACCACCTGCATGCGATAGCTGAAATCAAGTCATTTTCCCTCTTTTCTTCTAACTGAGTAAGGGAGGGGAGAAGGTTTATGTTTTATCTGATAGTCACGGCTGTTCCGGATTCAGAAATACAAAACACTTTTAACGTAGGAAGAAGCTTTTTTTAAGGGTAAAGGAAGATGGTGAATAAATACTACAGTCTCTGCAATTAGACACTTCCTTGGGGAGAAAAACAAAGAAACCACAAGGTTCGTAAAGGCAGTCAAGCGTTCCACCCTTTGGGGTTCCGCGCCTCGTCATATTCTCTCCTGCAGCCTCAGGATAGCAGGTTCCCGATGGCGCTGGGAGGCAGGGGCTCGGGGAGGACAAAGTCGTCTGGAACCCCGCTGGGGCGACGCTGGGGACAAGCGAGCAGCGCTAAGCACCGAAGAGAGTGCAGCCGGCTCCCTCTGCGGCCACCCCTTGCCAGAAAGCTCTCTGCCCCAGGCGCCCGCGCCAGGGCCGGGCCCATAAAACCCCAGGGAGGGATACTGGGCGGTGGAGCAGACGCGGAGTTATGCAGCCTAGAGAAGCAGGGATGTGTAAACACAAGCTAGCAGCATAAAGGGCCTAGCCTAGCAAGCAAGGCGAGCTCCCGGACTTTGGCTCTAAGAAAGAATCTCTACTTGCAAGAGTGTTTCCTACCCGTTCCCCACACGGACACACAAATTAAAGGCTCCAGGCGAGCTGACCCTGGCACTCACGCCGCACAGAACCTCAGGAAAATGCCCCCAATTTTTCCTTCGCAGCCGCTGCCTTCCCGTCCGTCCCCAAGTATCAAATCTGTGCCTTTCTCCACCTCACGCACCTCTTTCAAGATCTGGCCTCCTGTGAGCCGAGAGCACAATTGGTTGCGCGGCCTCTGGTGGCCCGGGTAGCCGCGGACACTTCCCCACCACACGCACAGGGCCGAGCGCTCCGCTCGCCCGAAGCTCCCGGCACAAATAGGGCTAGACCGCGCACAGGCCGCTGGGTCGGGACCCGCCGGCGGTATCGGGTCCTCCCAGCCTTGGGAGGCCGCTACCCGCGCCCAGGCCTTCGCCCGCCCTCTTCCCTCCCAGACCGACCCAGCCCCGCCTGCGCCAAGCCGCGGTACCCTGCACCCCGCAGCCCGCAAGGGCTCCCCGGCCTAGGCGGAGTCCAACTGAGGCAAAGGCACCAGTTCCGGGGCGCCACGCTACTTTCCAGTGCCCCATCTGCAGCCCCGAGTCCTCACCCGGCTCCAGGGTGCAGAGCAGCCGGGGCGCGGTCCGAGAAATGCAGCTGCGCTTTTTGAGCACATTGCTCAGGATGGTGCCCACGCCGCCGCCGCCGCCGCCGCCACCCTGCCGCTTCAGGCATCTCCCTCCGCGCCTCAAGGAGCCGGTCAGCTTGTCCTGCCGCATTCGAGAGCGCTCCGGGCTCCGGCGCAGCCGCCGTCCGCCTGGGTCCCCGCTACCCCGCCGGCGTAGCGGCTTCGCGCGCGGGACTTGGCGAGTCCGCTTAGCCGAGGGGCCCTCCGGAGCAGCGAGAGTGCGGCCGGCGCCCGACGGTCGAAGGGACCTGCGGGGCACCGCAGAAGCCGCCGAGCACGGAGCGGTCGGCAGGCATCTGCAGTGCGGAGCCTGCACGGCTGAGGCAGGAGACAGCTTGGGGCGGGGAAGAGGGCGGGAGCGAGGGAGCGCGCGGGAGACGAAGGCGGTGCTCCCGCCCCCAATCCCAGCATCACTGTGCGTAGGCGGGGCGGCCCTAGCTCCCTAGCGCCCCGCGGGCTCCTGGCATCTGCGCCCGGGAGCCGGGAGCCGGGAGCCGGGAGCCGCAGAACTGCGAAGCCTGGAAACCCCGGAGCCCGGGAGCCTGGGAACTGGAGAGCTGCCGGGGGAACAACTGCGCCCAGGGACCCGAAGCAGCGGGAGATTGCTTTGCTCTTCCCAAGATCTGGGAGGAGCTGGAGGGGGGCACCAAAGAGGGCAAGTCTCAGGTGCAGAATAGCAGAGAGATGCAAGAGTCCACCTAACCAAACAGCGTCAGAAGAGACAGCGGCCGGAAGGATGAATCTGGCAGTGTGGCAGAGAAGCTGGCAGATGGTGAAGCACAAGCTTCATCCCAAATTGTGTTAAACTCCTAGCAGCTTAGACAGGCAAGGGAAGCACGTAAAAAATAATAATAATGGTTCTTTCTCTTGGAAGAATAGCCTTTAAGAAAAAACTGTTCACATTTAAAAGCAGTGGGTTTTTTTTTTTTCTTTTTTTTTGAAGTGCTTCCTCCTCTCTCCATCCGGAGATTAAGTAGTTTAGAACTATTAACTATCACTACTGGTTTTTTTTTTTTTTTAAGTCATTCTTAAACCATGACATTAACCAATCCAATATTAATCATAAAAATGAATGAGGAATAAGGAAGGAAAGGATGTGGAAGGAAATAGACATTTGTATTTGCTAATATTTAGAAAAGGAACACTACATGGATAAACCAAAACTAAAACATATTTATATGGGAGGGAACAGTGTGGAATAAAGAGGAATGGAAAACTGAGAGGTCTTCTGGATGCACCTTACATAGTTTGACTCTGAAATAACATATTAATAAAAAGAAAAAATGAAAATGAATGGAAACAAGTGAACCTAACTGAATATCCTGTTGATGGCACAAGAATACAGGGAAAAAATTAGTAAGTTGCTTTAGAATACAGTATTATGACTGAACATCAATGGTTCTATATATTCCAACAGCAAATTGAGCTGCAAGGAAATCTTAAATGCCAACAAGTAGCATTATTGTTATTTGATATTGATTTCTTTTCATTCTTATGTATGCTATGGGATAAAGCA